GTGGCCCAATAAGACTGTTCTTCGGCCATATCTAGAGAACCGTTCGTAAACCAGGTGTCAAATTCTTGACAGAATAGCTTCCTAGCTGAAACCAAAAATTGCCAACATATGTACGCACTGCTTTTATTAGAGAGACCTACCATCCAAATTTCGTTAAAATTGCTCCTTAAATAAGAAAGTTGAATGTTGCACATGCGCAACACTATTTTTTGCGCATGCATTTTGTTTTCTTTTATTAGGAGGACCTACCATCCAATTTTCGTTAAAATTGCTCCATAAATAAGAAAGTTGGATGTTGCACATGCGCAACTCGATTTTTTGCGCATGCATTTTGTTTTCTTTTATTAGGAGGACCTACCATCCAAATTTCGTTTTAATTGTTCCATAAATAAGAAAATTGCATTTCTGCGCATGCGCAACACGATTTTTGCGCATGAATTTTGTTTGCTTTTATTAAAGGGACTTACCATAGAAATTTCGTTTAAATTGCTTCAGAAACAAGATCGTTGCGTTTTGCACATATGCAACACAATTTTTTGACTTTGACAATTTTTTTCTCCGTTTTTTGATAATATAACCCGGCCCAATTTTTTGTAGGTTGTACACAGGAAAATAAGGTCTTCCAAATAATAGAATAAAAATTTTAGGTTGCTATTTGAAAAAAAAAGTTCGATGCCGTTACGGCGCTCCAAAATTTTTTTTCAAAAATCCGGCCCGTTATTTTTCTGTTCGGTATGCCTAAAACATATATACAAAATTTCAACAAAATCCGTCGAGCCGTTTTCTCAGAAAATTGCCAACAAACGTACGTACGTACGTACATACAGACGGAAAAAATTTTTATTCTTTAAAAGTTGCTTAAAATGGTCTAAAACGTCGACATTTGATGAAATTTTGAAATGTTCAAAAAACGGCTATCGCAATAGCTACCTAGCACATGCTAGGAAGCTAAAAATTATTAGGTAAATCCGTTATGAAGAATCGCTAGAAAATATTTTCAAGTTCTAAAAGTGACCACCAGAGCGTGTAACTGCCATCTTAAATTTTAAAATTGCATTTTCTTTCAATTTCGCATAATAAACTAAACATTCGTTTTTCACATTTTTAAAGAGAACCAGTTTATCTATCTTTTTCGTAAAAACAGAAACTCAGTTATTCCAAAACAAAGATGGTGTTCAATTGTTTTTGCCATAACCTGCTTAAACTTTTTAACCGTCTTACCGATTTGAACAAATTTGGTATCGTTGAAAAGAGCATTCCTGAGGAATAGGAATCAACCAAAATATACTTAATTTAGTTAAATCCTTCTTCGCCAGGGGGCTAGTTTTGACAATGTGATCCAAAATCCTAAACAAATCAAATGAAATGATATGACTTTTTCTTTATGAAAAAGTACCCAAATAACATCCAAAGAGGCCAGTGAAAACCGTTTTTCAAAATCTCGTTCCTAACCTCAAATCACAGATTGGTATATTTAAATCTGTGCTCAAATATTGGGAAAATGAGATTAATTAATTAATTAATTCAAATGCTTAAATTGTACCTTAAATTTACTTTTGATGTATTTCCGGTATTTGTCGATGGCGCGAAAGATTGTTTGGAAAAGCACCCTACACATTTAGGTAGGCCTTGGAAAATTAAACAAATGAAACACGATGCATTATAAAATAATAACAGTCGTAATTTGTAAATTATTCTGCTGTGTTTACAAGTTCCCGGGATATGGCCGAGGAACAGTCTTATTGGGTCACCCGGTACATACAGGGTGTTACATGTAAGTATGTAAAAAAATTGGGTAGTAGAGGGGATCAAAACAAGCACACTTTTTCCAAATAAACCGAAGGTCCAATGCGTTTCGTTTAGCAGCAAAGTGTCGAAATTTTAATTTCTTCTTCAAATTTTTTCTCAGCGAAGGAGGTAATGAAGACATTAATGAACACGTCTTCATTACCTCCTTCACTAAAGAACACGTTTCACTAGAGATGGAACAGTACATCCAACGAATTTTTTTTCAGCAACCATAAGAGTTACAATAACTGGTCCTACGCCGTTGAAAAGGTTTTCGGGTATGTCCTTCCCGATTTTGCAAAAAATTCTCATAACTCCTACCACAAAAAGGCGCAGCACTAAAGGGGGGCGCGAACATGAAAAACCCCTACATACCAAATTTAAGCTTAAATAATGTTATTTGCGACATTTTCAACTAACTACAAGCGAAATTAGATAATCCTCTATAGTAGGCGGGGGACACTTTTCAGGCCGAAGGACCAATCTTCAAATGAGTATAACTTTTGTTTGAAAAGAGATTTTAAAGACAATTTGGCCCTTAACTCAAGTAAACTTCGTGGAATTTTCTCCATTTTCGTTGTGCGACCAAGAATTGCAGTAGAAGTATTTTTTTTGTAAATTTCACCTTTTTTTTTGGGTGGCTCCCAAACGAAATAAACTGGGTCCTCAGTTTATTTGGAAAAAGTGCTTGTTTTGAATCCCCTCTACGACCCAATTTTTTCGACATACTTATATGTACCACCCCGTATAATCAAAAACGTAATCGAAAGGAAAATAGAAGGAGAATAATTTATCTAACACCCGTAGACCCGAATAGGCATGGGAATTTTTTTCGATATATCGATAGGTATCGATAGTTATCGATATATCGAATAACAATAGGTAGAGCTAAAAAAATCGATATATCGATAATCTATCGATATCGTCGATAATCGATATATCGATACCTATCGATATGTCGATAACTATCGATATGTCGATAACTATCGATATATCGATATGTCGATAACTATTGATATATCGATATGTCGATACTATCGATATATCGATATGTCGATATCTATCGATATATCGATATGTCGATAACTATTGATATATCGATATGTCGATAACTATTGATATATCGATATGTCGATAACTATTGATATATCGATATGTCGATAACTATTGGTACGATAAAATTATGTTATTGTTGAGATTTCAACGAGCACTACTATTTTTATTAATAAAATCCATTTTCGGGTTTACTCTCGTGTAAATTTACTATTTTTAGTTGCTCGACGTTTCGGAAACTTAACTTTGCTCCCTTTCTCAAGAGAAGCGCTACGTCACATCATCATCCATGCCAAATAAACGCAGTAATAAAATCTTTAGAAAATAGATCTTTTCGTCTTACTGACGATTGCTCAAAAAAAGAAGCATTTCAAAAACTTGAACAAAATGTTGCATCAAAATGGCTACTCTTTAGATAAAATAAAGAAGACAATCAAAGGGTGTAATCATAGCCTATGTATCGGTATCTGATTGATGGTTACAGAGGACCAGTCACAAAAAAACAGAAAAAGCTAAGAACACTTCAAATTTAGATATACAGTTTCAATTGATTGACATTTACGAAATCTAACAAAAAACTCTTGATAAAGGTAGCAAAGAAACGTCGAGTAACTATTAATAGTCACTTTACACGAGAATAAACCGGAAAATGGATTTTATTAATAAAACTCGATAAGATAACTATCCCTGTCGATAACTATCGATACGTCGAATATTTCTCTCAAATGAGGCGTGCAATTACCGCTTAATTACAGCGGTAATTGCATTGTAGAAAGCTAAAGAGCCCTGCGATAATTGCACAGTTAATATGGTAACTCCATTAAAGTTGCAAGAACTGCATTCGGTTATTTTCATATTTTGTTAAAAGAGCCCTCTTGTCTTGTCGGGCTCTGTCGCTAAAATATAAAAGTAAACTCATGCAGTTTTTAGACACGCTTTCAAAAAAATTATCGGTAATATTATATCGATACCTATATATTAAAAACTATCGCCATAACGAGAACTATCGATATACCGATACTTATCGATATAGCGGCAGTTATCGATCTTTCGATAGTTATCGGTGTATCGATAACCATCGATATTTCGATAATTATCGGCATATCGATAAGTAAAATATATCGATAAGGTAAGTACCCGATACTTATATCGATAGGTGAAAACAGTTATCGCCCATCCCTAGCGATAACTATCGACATATCGATAACTATCGACATATCGATATATCGATACCTATCGATAGTATTCATATATCGATAACTATCGAAATATCGATAACTATCGATATATCGATAGACAAATCGATAACTATCGATATATCGATAACTATCGACATATCGATAACTATCGATATATCGATAGGTATCGATATATCGATAACCATCGATATTTCGATAATTATCGGCATATCGATAAGTAAAATATATCGATAGGTAAGTACCCGATACTTATCGATAGGTGAAAACAGTGATCGCCCATCCCTAGCACCCGAAGGCAGCATTTTGAGACAGCGGAAGCAAGAGCGGAGGCGGAAACTCAAGCGGGAGAGGGAGAGCGAGAGAGAGAGGGAGAAGTTTAAAGTATAACGATGTTCGTGAACTCTGCAAAAATTTTACATTATTTTAAATCAGCATTCCAACTGTAGCATTGTAACAGCAGTTACATTTCACTAATTTTTGGTTGAGAGAAGGCGTTGAATATTGAATTATTTCACCTGCCTAATTTGCGATTCGAGTTCAAAGTTTGATGTAAAGTAAATTAATAGACACATTGTCAATAAAGTTCTCATTAATTCGTTGTATTTTCCTGGACTTATTCAACTTTAACGGTAACATAGTATTGGATTAAATTGAAGATAGTTAATTATTGAAAGCTGTAGTAAAATTCCTACACGCATGTCTTTGATGCAGTGCAATATTTCAACAAAGCATCCCGCCCAATGCTGTTAATTAAGCACACTACAAATGCACATTCTTGAAATATTCCTTTTAGCTTTGAACATGAATCTAAATATTTCACTCAGGCAGTTAGTTAGTTCAAGATGCAGTTTATTATAGACTCTCCTAATCGTAATGTGGTATAGTACCTAACCATACAATGTTATAAGCATCTAACAAATGCCTACTTAGTATTAGTAACATATGATAAAGCGTGCTTACCTTTGACAGAGGGAGATTAGATGACAAGTTCGCTAAGGCGGAAGATGATTGATTTGAATTATTGCTATTGGTATCTCTCAAGTATATTTGCCAGGTCGCCGTTGAATTGAAACTCTTATCGGCGGCGTAGCATCGCCAAAGACACTGAATTAACATAGCGGCGGCAGGAATTTGTCGGTTGAAATGCTTCTGACGTTGCTTTTGTTGAACTTTCAAAGCGAAGCCGGATCCCAGAATGCCCTGTAAAAGAATTAGATATTTTCAGGATTCGGTAATGTTAGTTTGATGAAATTGTGTACCTACGCCATGAATAATACATTTTTCACTGAAATGGAAGCACAAACGGCGCAATTTGGAGACAGCTGACACAAAGTTTTTTTTTACACTAATCTAAATCTGAATATTTGGAGCTCGTTTATGAGAGGCCTAATGAACAAAATTTCGTGGACACCTGCAAAGGAAGCGTATATGTTGTTTCCTTCAGTATCTGCGAAATTTATTACAGATCAAATTGACATTTCCTGTGTGCACAAACAGAAGTACAAAAACATATAATGGGAAACATAAAAGTGAGCATCCCAACAAACCAAAAAATTGTTTGTTAGCTACTTTACGCATCATCTGAATAAATCATGTGGTTCGGAAAAGGACGTATATTACTATGACTACGGTAGTACATTATCGCCTATTTTCGAATAGGAGTGCAAATACAGGACTCTTTCAATACTCGAGTAATAGCTTTTCATGCGGAACGAATTGTACGCCGCGAGGAATATTAAAATCCACATTTCCTTCCGTTCCCTTGTCACGCTTAAGATAGATTTAGAAAATTGATTTTTTTATAGCGTGTAGATACTTTTTTAATTTTTACAAAAATGCAGGAACAAACGTAATGAATAACTTTAATCATCTCGCAAAAAAATGAATTGGTTTCTCCTAATGGAACTGTGAGATCAATATAACTAGATTTTCAATCGCAGGTCTAACATAGCGAGTAGGAATAGGAAATTCTACTTTGTTAGTGGAAGGACTTGTTCCATTATTTCAGAAATTAGTTGAAGCCTGTACTGAAAGCCAAGGTCAAGGAATTTTCTTGATATCGTTTTAGGGTAGTTCTAAGAGGAAGATTAGTTTCTTATTAAAATTTCAACTTGGCCGAGTCGAAATAATAAGGCATCCCTTGGTTAGAAAAAGATATTTCAACACAAGACATTTTGACATAGCTTTATTGTGTATGAGAAAAGCTTTTGCGAACTTGAAAATAACTACCACCAAGATTCATTAAGCATTAATCAAGTTGTGGTGAAAAATCTCGAAAATGCGCTATGGTTGTTCAAGAACATATTATATATGTAGACTTTAATACTAGTTTTTATACTCTATACGTAATTAATTAGGTTATTTAATTTTTATCTTGCGTATACTGTTGTGTGAACAACATCTGGTAGACGTAATTTCGTTTTAAGCACCAAAAATAATGACGGAACACCCTGTATGTGACAATTTTCAATTTAATAAAGTAAATCTGCGGGGTTTGTTTACGAATAAGCACAGCATTGATTTATTTCATTCGAATTTGTATTTCCGCAGTTGCTTTTCCACGTTAGAATTAATAGTAATTGTGTAATTAGTTCAATTTAAATAAGACGCGTACTGTATAAAAGGTTTAAGTGCTTGCGATAAGAACTTTTGATATCAAACGAAAGTAAATTAATTTCAACGAAAATGAACATCTTGTGCTGGTGTTATCAAGTCTAATTGTCCTGAGGAAGGAGATTATTTTCTTGTAGTATTTCGTTAAATACTGGAATCAACTAAAAACAGGACTGGGTGGTTCGCGACGGTTGAAAAATCGTGTACGTTTTTTGCGCTATTCTTGTTCGGACTAACCGCCCGCTTTGATTAGTTGAAAACGTAGTTTGAAATTTTGTGCAGAAGCAAGTTGACAAAAGTTGTGTGCGAAGTTTAAAACGGTTTGTGCGATTTAGAATCTATCAGCGTTTGTGTGTGTAGTTAAGGGCACCTTGTTTATCGCAGAGCGACCAGATTATTAGGATTATTAAAAGAAAAAAAACTGTACGTAATTTCCTTATTTATTTGTTGACCATCTGCGTGCGGAGTAATTTGTCTAAACAAGCTTCAACAAGTTCATACTAGTCTTGTAAAAGGAGCCATCTTGGGCTTTCCAAAAATTCTATTTTAAAAATTAAATTTTGTGTAGGTGTTTGCTAATTTCCTTATAAGTTTATTTTAAATTTTGTACTTTGGCATTGATATCATATGGTTTTTGTGTAACTGAATTGTCGTGGGAGTAAAAATCAACAGCTATCTAAGCTGCCGACGAATGCTTTTGAATCGTTATGTATGTAACCCGTTACATGCGTCTGTAAAAAGAGCTTAGTGGAATTATAAATGCAATTTAAAAAATATTATTTAAAGGCAGTTGAGATGGATTGAAACGATTTTGTTTAGGTTAGCATTAATTGCAGTATCGTAATATGGATTATGATTAAGTCGTAAGGCTTTTAGATAAGATACAAATAAAAATAAGGGGTTTGAACCGGCTGGTGGAGTCATAACTTCAAATGTTCAAATCCCAGGATAGCAGTAAAGTGAAAGTAAGGTGCTGAAAAAGGGAAAGTGAAAGGTGTGGACGAGACACAATTCTATCTATTGATATATTTTTAAAACTACATACAGTGGTGTACGTCTGCTGAGTCAAGGGGCACATATATATTTTTTAGCAATCACTATTTTTTATTACATATTCTTAAGGAGCACATATTTTAGGCTGCTATATTCAAAATAGATTACCCTAGATTGATATATAGTGAAAAATAGTGGTTGGCATTACGCCACTGCACAAATTCAAAGTGCATAGATAGATGGCAAACTTGTTATAATTTTAGAGCGTTGTTGTTTCATTTCTTCGAATTCAGTGTTCCAGACCAAACTTTCACCCTGTATACCTACCAAGAAACAATGTTGTTCATTGCCATTAAAACAAGATATATAAGTGCCTAATTCTTTCGTTTTGATTATTCGCGTCATTAAATCCTTTCATTTCTTCGAATGCGCAAAAGTCTCTCGATTCTTCAGTTTCTCAGGTTTGTTTGTTTCTTCAAATTCGTTGGAGTGTAAGATAGAGATTAAGATTCATACAGTTATTCTTCGGACCCCTCGATTATTTCGGATCCTTCAGTCTGAAACGGGTTCAATTGAAAAAAAAAAAAGAATTTCTATTTATATAGTGTAAACGTCACGTAGCCGAAATAATACCCAAGAAAATAACTGGTTACCCTGTATATGCCAACGTTTTAATTTCATTTAAATCTGGAAGATTTTATTACAAATAAGTATAGAATTAGTTTATTTAATCAGAATTGTTATTTTAGTGTTTAGTTTTCCATTTTAGAATTGTCTTTAATTGCACAATGTCTTGTTTAAATTTTATCTTTCGTGTAAATTTGTTTATTTAAATTGTAAGATGTGACAATTGCGTCATTTAAAATTAAGGATACATTTAAGTGCTATCTGGTCATGTGCGATAAGGAGTTTGAGTGGTGTTCTGTTAAATACGAAATTAAACGTTGTTTGTTAGTCTAAGGCAGCTGTCTCGCTGCCATTGTTTATTGTCTATGTTTATTGTCATTGTTTACTTGAATTTGTTAGACAAAATTTGTGTAATTGATTTCTTGGAATTTTCGGAAACTGATCGAGGCTACTGAGTCTACTAAATTATTAATTTCGATTCATTATTAGGATTTTGCTTATACCGGATGATTTTTTATTTATTTGAGCTAGCTGGTCAGGTGTTTTGTGTGCGGTGTAGTTGACCGCACGCCCTTGCACACACCATTCTTCATTTGGCGCCCAATGTAGGCCACAGCATTATTTATTTGGCGCCCAACGTGGGACCACAGCAACATAGTAAACTTAATTATTACTCATTACGCCAGCGACATTTTAAGCAGTAGATTAAAGGTGAGGACATGAGTTTATTTAAAATTATAGCGAGAGGTAAATTACTATCGCTGTTGAATTAGAAAAAACAGACTAAACCGCTATCATATTATCCGTAATGCACGTAACGTTCTTATCGAAATATAACCGGAGCTATATAAGCGCAACGTTTGGAATGAAACAGCAGGTTGCACAAAACTTTGAGTTTCTGCACAAAGTGACGTTCTTGTTCTAATTCACTGAACATCAAACCAGAGTTCTTCTATTAAAAATTTAGTTCCTAGTTCTTCCTTTTTTTTAAAAAGTGGATGAACCTAATCACAACGTAATCAAAAATAATAAATCATCTTTACTACGTTATTTACTTTACAGGTTAGGTGACAGATGACATTTCTGACAGTCTCTGAGTGATCTCCAATTCCCACACAGTAAATAAAAAACTGTCTTTCAACCAGTTATAAGTTGGAACACACCACTCTTCAAATTAACGAATAACCAATTACCCAAATCTCCGTCGCACAAAAAGGCACCTTCTGTTCAAGAGGAGTGTGATCAATACATGAACTTAGACGGAAAAAGTGAACAAAAAATTGAGTAAACACAATTTTCATCGCGAATATTTTTCCATTAAAGCAATTTAAATAATACACTTTAAATAAATTATAAGATTTCCCGTGGAAACAGTTTCAATTTCACAAATTTCGATAATATCGCAACTTTTGCCATCTTTCCTGTTTATTTCAATTTCCCTTTTATAACTTCGAATTTGGTTCCGATAATGGAAAATTTAATTTAATATCCTAAGGGTTTTTTAATCTACCTTCGGATTCGGTAATATCGTGTAGATAGACCGTATTGCTTGCCGAAATGTACATTTTATTTGTTGCGCCTTTCCACGTACGGGAAAAGTGTCGTGCATATTTTAAGAAGTATCGCAATGGAATTTTGGTTCAACAAAAGTTTTCGTACTAAACGGAAATGGTAAATGCAACAAGAGTACTTCAGGCGCATTCTTCCTTTACGTATTGAAAGTTGAAAATTTAATTTTCTAATGTTGTCGTATGCCTGATAACTAGTAGAATGAAGCAATTGATTTGTAAGTTTTAAAGGGAAAGCGTGTCATTAAGTCTATGGTCACAGATAATATAACCTGTTGCCTTATACTTTTTGAAGTATACACCTATTATTTCAAGTGCTTTCATTTAGAACGCGGGCTCTGGATCGATCCAAAACAAAGAGTATCAAGGAAAAGTTCGTATACCTATTTCAAAACTGAA